CATCTTACTAGTTGTCCTTCTCTTTTTACATAAGGGTCTTAAGCAGTATTTGTCCTTATGAGGCTAAGTTAATTCACTCAGCGTAATACTCTGTAGCCTCTCCTATGTTATAAGACTTTTCAAAATCCTTGCACCTGAGTTCTACACAGTATTCCATCATGTGAATGTACTACAATTTCTCAATCTATTCATGTGTTGATGGACATTTGGGCTATTTTTAATTTGTGATATTGTGAATAATACTCCAGTTTTCAAAACTGGTATACAAATCTCCATTTGTGTCTCAGTTGTATTTTCCTTGGGCTTTATTCCTAGCAGTGGAATGTCGATGTCATGTGAAATGTCTGTGTTCACCTTTTTTGAGGAAACACCAAACTGCCTTCCAGAGTGGTTGTACCATTTTACAACCCAAACAATGTTCTCTATAACATTTATTACTTGCTGTCCTGTTCAACTTTACTGCTTCTACTGAGATGAGATGGTATCTCATTATGCTTTTGATTTGCATCTCTCTTCTTGCCAGTGATTTTGAGCATTTCTTCATTTGTCTGTTGGCCATCTGAATGTCTTCCTTTGTGAAAGTCTTTCTATGTTCTTTGCTCATTTGGTAATTGGGTTATCAGTCTTTTTCTTGTGGAGACTCTGTAGGAGTCTATAAACTTTTGTTATTAGATCCTTGCCTGAGATGCCATTGCCAAATATTTTTCCCCCAGTCAGTAGCTTTTCATTTCACCCTATTGGAAAGAGTTTTTGCTGCACACAAGGACTTAATCTCTAGAAAGTGCCATTTATCAAAGATATCTTCTCCTGGTTGTACATATTTGGCTGTATTTGCCAATTTATTTATACCATAGGCTAGGTTTTCCAAATTTGGTCCCATTTTGCCTCATATGATCTTTACAGTTTTAGGCTTTTCCCCTAAGTCTCTTATCAACCTTGAGTTGATTTTTGTGTGTGGTGTGAGATGTGGATCCTGCTTCAGCTTTCTGCAGGTAGCAGTCCAGTTTTGCCAGCACCATTTGTTGAAGAAGATGTCATTTCTCCATTTGATAGGTTTTGTTTCCTTGTTGAATATCAGCTAACTATAGATAGATGGATTAACTTTTGGGTTCTGCATTCTGTTCCATTGGTCTGTGTGTCTGTCATTGTACCAGTACCATGATGTTTTGGCTATTACAGCTGTGTAGTAGCTTTTGTCTCTTATTTAGTTTTGTTTCTTAGTATTTTTTTTTCAGAAGTGTTTGGCTTATTTGGGGTCTCTTTCATTTCCAAACAAAATTCTCAATTGCCTTTTCTAACTCTTTGAAAAATGAATTTTGTATCTTTTATTGAAATTGCATTAAACACATAGATTGCTTTTGGTAGGATTGTCATTTTCACTATATTGAGTCTTTCTATCCATGAACAGGGAACATTTTTCCATTTATTTAGGTTTTATTGTTTTTCGCAGTAGTGCTTAATAGTTTTCTTTATAGAGATCTTTTGTGTTTCTAGTTGGATTTATTCCCAAGAATCTCAATATGTGGTTGGCTATTATAAATGATGTTGCTTAGTATCTTTATCTGTTTTTTCTTTGTAACTGTAGAGGAATCCCACTGATTTTTATTATTACTATTTATCTCATATCCTGTAACTCTACTAAATTGGTTTACTAGATCTAACAGGTTTTTTTGTTGAGTTCTTGGAGTGTTCTGTGTACACTATCATATCATCTGTACATAGTGATAGTTTTACCACATCTTAACCGACCTGGATGCCTCTTATTTTCTTCTCTTGTCATATTGCCCTAGCAAGTACTTCCAACACAATATTGAATAGGAGTGCTGAAAGTGGGCATCCTTGTCTGATCCTTGTTCCCAAGCAGAAAGCCTTTCGTTTTTCTCCATTGAGAATGAGATTGGCTCTTGGTTTTGAATATATACTTTTCACTATATTGAGGAAATTCCTTTCTATTCCTATTTTGCTGAATATTTTAATCAGAAAGAGGTGTCGGATTTTGTTGAAAGCCTTTTCTGCATCTCAATAAAAACATGTAGTTCTTGTTGTTTGCTTTGTTAATAGGATGAACCATCCTTGCATCCCTGTTATGAATTCTTGGTCATGACAGTTTTTTTTAAAAATGTATTGTTGGCGTCTATTGTGCAGGATTTTAAGGATTTTTGCACATATATTCATGACAGATATTGGTCTGTAGGGGGATTTTTTTGGTAACATCTGTGCCTGGTTTTGGTATTAAAGTTATACTTGCTTTATAGAATGACTCTTTGAGTTGTGGTACTGGAGAAGAGTCTTGAACATATCATGGAGTGCCAAAAAAAACACAACCAAATAGGTCTGTCATGGAGAGGGTGAAACCAAGTTTCTCTTTGGAGGCTAGGATTTTGAAGCTCCGTCTCACATACTTTAGGCAAATGACCAGGAGGGACTAATCCTTGGAGAAGGACATCATACTCAGAAAGGTGGAAGGGAAGTGCAGAGGAGGAAGATCCTGGATGAGGTGGATTAATACAGTAACTAGGACAATGAGGGTAGGTGTATTAAAAGTCAGTGGCACTGGCTCAATACAGGGCAAGCTTCAGAGCGATTGTACAGAGGGTCACTATGAGTCACAGGCGACTTGATGGCACCTAACAACAACACTAACCTAATCATGTTGTAGCATGGTCTTATTTAGCTTCCACATTGGTGGCTTTATAAGCTTTACTTTCTTGTCCTTAATTTCTAGTTTTATGGCATTGTGGTCTGAAAAGATGTATTATTTCAACATTTTAAAATTTGTTGATTCTTGCTTTGTGTCCTAACAAATGACCAGTTCTAGAGAATGAACAATGTGCATTTGAAAAGAAAGTAAATTGACTTTTCATCAAGTGCAGTATCCTGAATGTATCACAAGTTCAAGTTGGCTGACTGTATAGATCTTCTGCATATTTGTTAAGTTTCTTTCACGTTGACCTATCATTTGATGAGAGTG